CGGGACAGAGGGCACCACCCCGGCCCCAGCCCCGCCACAGGGCACCAGGCACCGCCCCACGCAGGAACACCCACGGGCAGCACCCCGGAGCTGCGTGCTCAGCCCTTGCCCACTCGGCTCCCAAAACCGGAGCTCCCCGGCCAAGGGATGCCCAAAGGTTGGGTGCCTGCACCTCCGGCATCACCTGGCTGCTGGCTGTACCAGGTCCAGTTGTGGGGTGCCAGGCAGTCCCCAGGGTGGGCACAGGGTGTCCCGGGTCTGGTTGTGGGGTGTCATGATGTTCCCAGGGAGGGCACAGTGTGCCCCAGGTCCAGCTGTTAGGGTGCCAGGCTGTGCCCAGGCCCAGTGCCCCTGGCCAGGGGATTGAGCATGGTGTGTGCTTGCCCGGCAGATGGAGCGGATGATCGTCAGCATGCAGGACCCCGACATGGGCATCAAGATGAGGAACCAGCGCCTGCTCATCACTGTCATCCCCCACGCCATGACAGGTGGGTGCCTGCAGAGGGGCGCCCTGCGAGGTGCATGGGGTGGGGGACGCGTGTGGGTGCTCCCCCACGTTACATCCAACACCCAGCCCTGTGGCACCCTGTGCCGCTCGCCTCCCCGCACTTGCGGGTGCTCAGTGCTGCAGCTGGGATCAATTATGCATTGGCTGAGCAGGGCGGGTGCTCGCTGGGGCACACGGCCCAGCATATCCTTGGCAAGGCCCCAATCACCCCCTCAGCCATGCCGTGCCAGAGTGCCCATGGGAACCTCCCCATGCCCTGTGTGAGGGACCCCATCACACCCCGCTAATGCTGCCTTGGTCCGCAGGGAATGACATCGTGGAGTGGCTCATCCAGAAGTACGGCATCTCCGAGGAGGGTTAGTACCCCAGCACAGGCAGCCAGCACCGTGGGGGTGACTGGGGCTGCTGAGCCCCAGTGCAGCTCCTGCTCCTGCTCCCCCAGAGTCGCTGCACCTCGGCAACCTCATCGTGAAGCATGGCTACATCTACCCCCTCAAAGACCCCCGTAGCCTGGTGCTGCGGGCGGACGAGTCACCTTACCGCTTCCAGGTACGACCACAGCCTCGGGACCTCCTGGCTTGGCACCCTGGCATCCCACACTGTGTGCCTCAGTCTCTTCCCTCCCTCCACAGACCCCCTATTTCTGGACCAATACCAAGTGGCCAGCCACGGAACTGGACTATGGTAGGTGCCACTGTGCCACCAGCATGGGCTGCAGCTCCTTCCCGGTCCCCCCTGAAGTGCCACCACTCCTCTTGCAGCCATTTACCTAGCCAAGAAGAACATACGCAAGCAGGGTGACTTGATTGAGCATGAGAAGGTGAGTGGTCCCATCCTCACACCAGTGATGAGTCTGGAGGGGGTGGGTCTCAGCTCATCCAGGAGTAGGGTGCTCACCCATGGGGCAGCACCAGCTCTGCCTGTGCTGGAGCGGCAATGGGACCTGAAGCCAGGTAAGGGGACGGTTGTCACACCGTGCCCATGTGGGTGACACCACCACTGCCACTCCCCAGGACAACTACAACCTCCTGCACAAGCGGATCAACCACACGTGGGACTTTGTGGTGATGCAGGCACGGGAGCAGCTCCGGTGAGTGCGGGCACAGCCTGGCATTGCTGCGCCCCAGGGAACCACTGGGGATGGAGCACCCTTGGGTGCTGGCGTGGATGGGAAGGGTGCCAGCGTCTCTCCTCTGCCTTCACATGGGCAGGGCGGCCAAGCAGCGGCGGAAGGGCGACCGCATCGTCATCGACTGCCAGGAGCAGGCGTACTGGCTGGTCAACCGGCCCCCGGTGAGGATGGGCTTGGGGGACATGGGGTGCTGGGCTGGTGGGTGCAGCCCTGGGTACAGGGAACCCAGAGAGCAGGGCTGGAGGTCCCACCAGCCCCTGATGCGATGCTCCCGTTGCAGCCAGGAGCCCCCAACGTGCTGGAGCAGGGCCCTGAGCGCAGGAACTGCCACACCACTCGTGTCCAGCTGGTGAGTGGGGATCCCGGACACCCTCAGGACTGCCAGTGGTCACAGGGTGCAGCCACTTATGTGCACCGAGCCACCCTGGTGGATGCCTGCCTATCGCATTCCAGGCTGTGCCCACATCTGGGGGAGGGGAGAGGCCCAGCCTGCCCCCCAACTGAGCCAGGGGGTCCATGTTTTTGCCTGGGCACCCACCACTTCTCTGTGCCAGCACTCCTAATCCCCATG